AATGACTGGCTGAAGCACCAAAGCCTAAACCTCCAGAAACATCCAGGTGCCTGTTGATGGGAATCCTAAGTTAGGAGCTAGCTTGTGAAGGAAGGCTTACGTAGCCTACGATCTGTTGTGACGAAAAGCTAAATCTGAGCCATGCTCCCAGGAGATGGAAAGCTAAAGCCTAACAGCATAGCCACCCAGCTGCCTGCATCTCCAGAACAGCTAAATTCCCTCTTCCCAACTGCAGCAATACAATTACATGCTTTGATACCTGTGACGGAAAACATAACCTTCGCTGCTAAGCAGAAAAGTCGGTGCCGAGAACTTCAGCTTGCTGGAAAGTTTACTCCCTTTCTCTGACTGTGACAACTAGCAGAGTCCTGCTCCGTGGTTTGGGCTCGTAGGCAGGGATAGCAGTGATAATAACAATTATTGTCTTCATGACTAGAAGGATATAAATACATCTGAACCTCTGTCCCGCTGTGCAAACATCTGCATTGGCCCCAACACTGCAATCAATCAGGAAACAGAAGTACGGACTTTTTCAAACACCCTTTTAGTCTCTTCTGAAATGTAAAACCCCATTTTCACACATTTTCAGAGCTGTTAGAGACTCCTACTAGCCAATCTGCTGGGGAAGAACTAGTCTCAGCTATCGCAGGTGTATGCCAGAGTGTTTTCTTTATATGCCAATGAATACAGGTCCCGAGTCTGTGGATTTCTTGCATTATCCTGGCATGGGACAGAGATTAAGGCTTATCTCTGATTAAACGGTTCACTGAGTAACCTTTAAGAGGATGAAGGAGCCAGGAGGAATGAGAGGTTTTGCTAGCGAGCTACTTCAATCTGGCAGTACGCAAATGCACAGGACTTCTTTTTTAATGGAAGCTAACGACATTCCTTCCCGCTGGAGTCGTGACCCTGAAATTTTACCATGGTAAAATTTCATCAGAACAGTAGTCTTATCCTCTCAGAAACTTCGAAACAAAAAATTTTCAGTATAAGTTCACGTTTCTTAGGGACAAAATTTGAACGTAGAAATTCAAATATGAAAAGTAGCAAGATTCTTCGGTACATTTTACTGTGAAAATAGTTGGAATTTCACTCTCATATTATCCTACATTGGCGTGGAAAATCTGTAAATGTATTATCATTGCACAATCATATTTTAAGATCTGAAAAATTCACACTGAAATGTGACATACTTATTTTTGGAAGGGATATTTGAGTGTATTTTTCCCCATTTTCCCCCATTGTTCTTTTCAAAACAGATTTCATCAATTTAGTCTTACAACCCTGACAGCAACCAAACAAGTATTAAATTAGAGATAAAGACTATCCATGGAGGATTTCAAACAAAGAGGAAGAGGACCATGGACCATGTCTTGTCGACACCTACAAGCTAAGTTTATGGTTCTGGAAAATCTTATGTGAACTGGCAGATTTACCCAAAGAATAGTTCTGTCACGGTCATGGCTTGGGGAGAAAACCATGAAAAGGCTGTGGAAAAATCACAGAATGGGGACTAACTCCTGAAAGCAAACGCTGAGTGCTCCAAAACTTAAGCGTGTCCTGGCTTACTTTCACTTTTATTTCTATTCTTTTCGGAAAGTACACATTAAATGGAAAGTTTTGTTTCTTGCAAATGAGATAAACATTCCTAAACATTTGGAACAAAAATCTGCCAAGCTGTATTCAGGAGGCAGAATTCTTTCCGAAACACTTCTCCACCATTTAATCAACTTTTTACATTGCTCCCTCATATGAAATTTCTTATGAATTTATGAACTACAATAACGCAGGATGGAAGCCGTTTTTTGTGAGATTCTTTTGTGCATGTGTTAAAATTTATTAGAAATTTCTATTGTGAAGATCACGTGAAGGAAAACTTTGCATTAAATAAAAACAAATGGAGGTTCCTCCAGCGCCACTCAGTAAGTGGCTGGGATGCTGCAAGCCAGATGAACCCAGAAAGTCACGCTGACTCTGCTGAGAAGTCGTAGGAGGAGCTCTTGAGCTCACTTTCAAGAAAACGTTAATCTTTTCCATTTGACATGTTTTGGAGTTAGACAAATTTGAACTGCTTTGGCACACAGACTAAACTCTACTCAGAGTCAGACAAATAAATTGCCTGCTGCCACATTAAACAGGGATCCAAGGATCATTTTGCTATGAAAGTTTATGGTGGAAGATCAAACAATTAGTCAAGTCAACAGACCTATGTCCTACATCACGCCGGTGCCTTTGGAAACCTCCCATTTGGGCTAAATAACGTGGAGAAGAGCTTGCAAGCGGGAACTTTAGAGTCCAACAGACACATAAACAAACAAACCTCCCCAAAAGTGGTTTCAGACCAAGGAAGTCCAAGATGTACCTGGTTCATTTCAGCATCTCAGGGGGTGAGAAGCCGTCTGGTCTGAGTACTTGCAATGGCAGCACTGGATTAGGAGCTAAATGCAAAGGTGCTGGATGCCCGCCCAGGGGCTTCACGGTTGAGCTCACCATCTATAAGGGAGAAGCTACGGGAAAACACAGGTTAGAGTCAGGACACCCTGGGACTGCCCATATTCTTCCTCAGCGCCTTGATCTCTTAGAACCACATCCCCACCATTCCCTAGCGGAGCTCGCCCAGAAACGCTCCGCGGATCTGAGGGGGCTGAGCGATACGTCCGTATTTGGGATCCTCGTTTACTTGGGAGCCTTATTACAAGGGGCAGCGAGGCATGAGCTCAGCGGGCCGGGCGCGGAGCGGAGCAGCGCCGCGCCAGCAGCGACCCCAGGCAGGCAGGCAGGGAAGGAGGGGGTGAGTCTAAAAGGAGAGGCCGAGGCGCTGTCTTCGGCAGCTCTTCTGGAATTTTC